CTCAGAAGCAGAGTCCCCACAGGTGCCTAATGCGTTCGTACTGGCCGCCCCAGGGTAAGCTGGTACAGGAGCTGCAAGAGGCACGAAGGAGAGAGGTGTGGACACTCCAGGAACTCTAAGCTCCAATCTCGACTCTGCCCATGGCCTTGGATATGTTGTTGCTTTCCTTCCCTGACAGAAAAAACAAACTGCCAAGGAATCCCCAAGCCCCAGCTTATTCAATAGTCAATACCAAATGCCATGTCCATTCATTAATTTAGTAAACATGGATGGCCGATCTTCTGTTTGTAAGCAATGCATAAAGCACCAGGCCACAAAGATTTTTTTTAATAAAATATTTTTAAAATAACGATAAGACATGGCCTCTCAAAATTCATGCAGTGTTTTGGCCAAGCTAAAAACAAGAGCATTTAAATTTTTAAAGTTGGTGATTTACCTGGTGTCTTCTGGGATAAAGAAATAATTACAAAACAATAATAACAAGGGTTAGCTACAATACATTCTAAATTTTAGAATGAGGCTCTAGCATAGGCCAAGGCACATATAGTCACCCTTCAGTATCCAGGGGGATGGGTTCCAGGATTCCCCACAGATACCAAAATCCAAGGTTGTACAAGCCCCTCACATAAAATGGTGCAATATTTGCATATAACCTATGCACACCCTCCTTTACACTTTAAGTCATCTTTAGACTACTTATAATACCAAATACAATCTAAATGCTATGTAAATAGTTGTTATACTGTATTTTTATTTGTATTTTTTCCCAAATATTTTAAATCCACAGTTAACTGAATCTGCAAATGCAGAATCCACAGATATGAAAGGTCAACTGTAGTCCATGTTCAATAAACATTTGTTGAAATAATAAAGAATGGCCGGGCGCAGTGGCTCACATCAGTAATCCCAACACTTTGGGAGGCCAAGATGATTGGATCACTTGAGCCCGGGAGCTTGAGACCACCCTGGCTGACATGGCAAAATCACTGGGCATGGTGGTGCAGGCCTGTAATCCCAGCTACTCAGGAGGCTGTGGCAGGAGGATCACCTGAGCCCTGGGAGATGAAGGCTGCAGTGTGCGCTCCAGCCTGGGCAACACAGTAAAATCCTGTCCCAAAAAAATAAGTAAATAAATAAAATAATTAATAGAGGTTATAATAATAAGGCCTCATCTAGTAACAGTACCCAGCGCGTGGGTGGGGTCAAAGAAGAGACCCTGAGGGAGCAACTCCTGATGCCTGCAATTGCCTCAATTGGATCCCCTTGGATCGCTTTCGGGAGAAACCCAGGCTGGGAGGCTGGCAAGAGCTTTGCTCTCTAGGGAGTGTCGGGCATGAGAGCAATGGCCACATCCCACACTGCCTCTAGGATTTAAGGCTGAGGAGCTGTGGGTCCACGCTGCCTATGCCAAGAGATGCCCAAGTGGTGTAAGATGTTTCGAGGCCTGGGGAGGAGGTGGTGGTGGCAAATTCAGCCTCCACTCAAGCCGAAGTGTTTGAGAACAAGGCCACACCTACCTGCCCAGAGGGGCCCTTGCTGGCACTTCCTCTCACTGAGTCCCTGGATATTTCATTTGGCGGGAGCACAGCAGAATCCAGGCCTAAATTGCTTGTTCCTGTCACCTTCCTGTAACTTCCTGATATGATCATCTTGTCAGGCATTTGTCCTTATGCGGGAAGAACTGAGCTTGCCCAAGGCCAGCTCCATCAACTCACTCTTTTATCCATGTAGCACTCGAGTCAGGCTGAAAAATCAGATTATTTCACTTTTTAGCTGGTGGGAGTACAGTCTGACAGAACTGTTTTTGGGAAAGTGATTGGTAATGCAGGTGGCACATCCAGGGAGAAGAGTACTCGCTCAACCACCCACTAAATCTGGGGCCCTGGGCAAGTCACAGAACATCTCTGAGCCTCCGTTTCTCGAAGCACTTGGAAGGAACAAATCACAGGATGCTCAGGAGCCCAGGGACAAATTATAAGCAGCAGCATAGCAGATGCATCACCCACATCACCAGAAGTGCACACTGTTGAATGCTTCACGTGAGGGCATCTCAAAAACCCACTGTATTCGTTGGGGCATAGAAGAATAGGTGACACCCAAATTAGGTCATTCAAGGAGAGATTAATTTTAAAAATTATGTATGAAGCTGTGAACAGGGTAGAAGAAGATCTTGGGGGAATAGTGCAGTATTCTGAAGCTAATAACAGCCTTAGCATCCTAGTGGGGCAGAAGTGGGAGTGGTTACTAGAACCCAGGTACAGGGAGGGGTGTCTGCAGAGAACCGTCTGGGAGTTGCAACCTTCAATGGAGGGCTGCAGCCAGACAGTGTTGACCCCACATGGAGGGAACCAGGGGAATAACTGCCCCAGCCTCTCTCCCCTGACTCTCTCCAGACTCCTGCCAGGGATCCCCATGGACCAAACTTAAGCAGACACTGAAAGATAAGGGAGCCCTTTGATACATTCTACACGCGCCAGCCCGGGAAGCAAAGCAGGGTGAAGGAGGGTGAGAGGTTGGCTCTGCAGGGACAAAAAATGATATCTAGCACATCCCACAAAAGCAACCCACAAAAAAAGGGTCAACTTTGAATGTCTACCAAAACAATGGGGGCACCAAAACAGCAAGATCATGACAGTCCCAGTCAAGTAAGCTCCTTCCTGCCTCTCACCCTTCCTCTGTGCTCCAGCCAACCTGCAGTGTTCAGAAACTGCAGCTAGCAAATCAGTAGGATTGAGGAAGGGGTGAGGAGTTACCAAGAAGGATAGTAGACAACTCACCGTGCCTCTTTTTCCCAAGGCAGCCTTTTAGCCTGACACAGACCAGAGCTGGAGAATGTATCAGTTAGAGTCTGAGAGGTTGCAGTAACAAACAGTCCCAAACATGTAGTGATGCAACACAGTAGGAGTTTGTTTCTTGCTCATGTAACAGTACAGGTAAGTGCCAGATTAGGATAGTAGGAAAGGCAGGGGGCTTTGCTTCATCCACACAGTTAGAGTCCCAGGCTGATGACCTTTAACAGACAGCTCATACAACACCCCTGGGATCACTTCCATCTCAGCCAACTAGAAAGAGGAGATAGAATGGAGAAGCACACATGGGAAGTGTTTCAGGGGCAGACCTGGAAATGAAGCCTATCCCTCTGTTCACATTCCAATGGCTAGACCTCAGTCACAAGGTCACTTCTAACTGGAAGGGAGACTGGGAAATGGAGTCTGCTGACCAGTCGAGATTAGAGATTATTATTATAGAACTATTATTATAAGGAAAAATGGATTTGGGTGGACAGTTGTCAGTCTTTGTTACAGAGAAATTTTAAATCTTGAAGTTAGCTTCAAAATTAAAATCACTGACATAGGCCGGGCTGACCATAACCAAGCCACAGATGTTCTGTGACTTGCCCAGGGCCCCAGAGTTAGTGGGTGGTTGAGCTGGTGCTGTTCTCCCTGCCATGTGCCACCTGCATTACCAATTACTTTCCCAAAAACAGTTCTGCCAGGCTGTACTCCCACCAGCTGAAAAGTAAAATAATCCTATTTTTCAGCCGGACTCAAGTGCTACATGGATAAAAGAGTGAGTTGATGGAGCTGGCTTTGGGAAAGCTCATTTGACATTTAAATCACTGACAAAGGCTGGGCGCAGTGGCTCACACCTGTAAACCCACCACTTTGGGAGGCTGAGGTGGGCAGATCTCTTAAGGTCAAGAGTTCAAGACCAGCCTGGCCAACGTGTTGAAACCCCATCTCTAACAAAAATATAAAAATTAGCCAGGTGTGGTGGCACACGCCTGTAGTCCCAACTACTCAGGAGGCTGAGGCAAGAGAATCACTTGAACAGGGAGGTGGAGGTTGAAGTGAGCCATGATCTCGCCACTGCACTCCAGCCTGGGTGACAGAGTGAGTTAGACTCCATCCTGATAAGCAAATGAATTAATTAATTAAATCACTGGTGGAGTTTGTTTTGTGATTAAAAGTTACAAGAGAACTTTCCTTTCTTGACAGGGGAAAAAAGAGTCAAGATGTCTGCCCTAAATTTACCAAAGGAACAAAACAGTAGCAGGTAGAGAGCAGGTTTCAGCCAGCTTGAGCAGCAGTTTGAACAACAGTTCAAAGGTGTTTGTTTACACTCTGGGGATTTCCACTTGCTCAGTGCTCCACTTATTCTGTGATCGGAATATGGGTAAATCTTTCCTGTCTCTTTTCACTTCTCTGACAGAAATTTTCTAAATTTCTTACAAAAAATATTGCTTTTAAATGAAAAAAAAATATTTTAAATATTTTTTAGAGTAAATGTAAAGGACTAATGTGATATACAAAAAAAAAAAATAGTCAACGAAGTTGCTCAGTCTTCTTATTCTGACTGCACTCAGTTCTTCACTACCAGTCCCCTATGCTTTAAAAAGCCATGTGATAATACCATCTTGCATATCTTTTTTCCTCCATTAGTGATGTCTCTTTTGCTCAAATCAACTCAACACTGTGAAATTCTCTTTGACTCTTCCTCCCTCACCCCAGCACCCAGTTGATGACGAACGTCTTGTTATGCACAAGGAAGTTGGTCACGGCAACTAGGGAAGAAGAATGGGGGCTGAGGGCAGCAGGGCAGCAGGGCACAGCATACAGGCTACATTGAGGACTTACCAATGCACAGCCATCACAGGCAGGAGCTACTGAGAAATAAAAACTCTTCAATGGCAAATTATAGAGAGATCTGAGTCAGGATCCAGGTAAAACCAATAAAGAAGTTTTCCGGGGATGACAGGGCTCATAGATGTCATCCAGAGACCAAGTCCAGGACATGTACTTTAGACAGTGTATGGCTTAATCCTGCTTCAGTCCTAAGTGAATCTTGCCACCACTCACTCACACATCACTTCCCAACCCCACCTCCACTGCCATCATCATCTGCATTTGATGTCCAGGCTATACATGGTAAATCCAGCAATAAAATCAAGAAGTCAGCTCAAGACTATAACCACTCTATAGTGAAAATAATACTGCCATGTTCACTTCGGCGGCACATATACTAAAATTGGAATGATACAGAGAAGATTAGCCTGGCCCCTGCACAAGGATGACACGCATATTTTTATCTTTGACAAATCTGACCAAAATGAGCAATGGGGAAAGGATTCCCTATTTAATAAATGATGTTGAGAAAACTGGCTAGCCATATGCAGAAAACTGAAACTGGATTCCTTCTTTAGATCTTATATAAAAATTAACTCAAGATGGATTAAAGACTTAAATGCAAAACCTAAAACCATAAAAACCCTGGAAGAAAACTTAGGCAATACCATTTAAGACATAGGCATGGGCAAAGACTTCATTATAAAACACCAAAAGCAATGGCAACAAAAGCCAAAACTAACAAATGGGATCTAATTAAACTAAAGAGCTTCTGCACAGCAAAAGAAATTATCATCAGAGTGAACAGGAAACCTACAGAATGGGAGAAAATTTTTTCAATCTATCCATCTGACAAAGGGCTAATATCCACAATCTGCAAGGAACTTAAACAAATTTACAAGAAAAAAAAATGAATAACCCCATCAAAAGTGGGTGAAGGCTATGAACAGACACTTCTCAAAAGAAAACATTTATGTAGCCAACAAACATGAAAAACAGCTCATCATCACTGGTCATTAGAGAAATGCAAATCAAAACCACATGGAGATACCATCTCACACCAGTTAGAATGGTGATCATTAAAAAGTTAGGAAACAACAGATGCTGGAGAGGATGTGGAGAAACAAGGATACTTTTACACTGTTGGTGGAAGTGTAAATTAGTTCAACTATTGTGGAAGACAATGTGGTGACTCTTCAAGGATCTAGAACCAGAAATACCATTTGACCCAGCAATCCCATTACTGGGTATATACCCAAAGGATTATAAATCATTCTACTATAAAGATACATCACATGAATGTTTATTGCAGCCCTATTCACAATAGTAAAGACTTGGAACCAACCCAAATGCTCATCAATGATAGACTGGATAAAGAAAATGTGGCACATACACACCATGAAATACTATGCAGCCATAAAAAAGGATGAGTTCATATCCTTTGCAGGGACATGGATGAAGCTGGAAGCCATCATTCTCAGCAAACTAACACAGGAACAGAAAACAGAAAACAAACACTGCATGTTCTTACTCATAAGTGGGAGTCGAACAATGAGAACACATGGACACAGAGAAGGGAACATTATACATCAGGGCCTGTTGAGGGGTGGGAGGCTAGGGGAGGGATAGCATTAAGAGAAATATCTAATGTAGATGATGGGTTGATGGGTGCAGCTAATCACCATGGCACATGTATACCTCTGTAAAAAAATGCACATTCTGCACATGTATCCCAGTACTTAAAGTATAATCAAAAATAAAAAGGAAAGAAAATAATGCTCCCACTGCTGTTGATAAAATTACACATGTAAAGTGCTTATACTAACTATGTTAGTTTGCTGGGCTGCCATAACAAGATATTGCAGATTGCAGATTGGGTGGCTCAAACAGAAGTGTCTCACAGTTCTGAGTCCAGGAAGTCCAAAATCAAGGTGTCAATCTGTTAGTTCCTTCTGAGGACTATAAAGGAAAGATCTGTTCCAGACCTTTCTCCTTGGCATATAAATGGCCATCTTTTTCCCACGCAAAGACGTGGTTTTCCCTCTGTACATGCCTGTCCCTAATCTCTTTTTGAAGGGATACAAGTTATACTGGATCAGGGCTTGCCCTAATGACCTCAGTTTACCTTAATTACCTGTCTAAAGACCCTATCTCAGAATATAGTAACATTCTCAGGTACTGGGTGCTACAGCTTCAAATATCAATTTGGCCAAGGGTGGGTGGGGAGTCACAATTCAGCCCATACTGCTAGCTAAGTGATCATAGCTATTACAATGGTCCTGGAATTCAAGGACCCCCACAATGTCAACATCCAAATCAGCTTTCCTTTCAATTTTATGTTTCTTACCCCCATCCCAATCAAATGTTTACAGGTACTGTTAACCAAACCACCTCGAACATTGCCTCCTCCAAGCTTTCTCTCTACTGTGATGGCCCACACCCTATAATCTGCCTTGTGATGACAAACACACCAAACTCTCCTCACAGTGTAAGATGCAGCTCAAGCCCCATCCTGTATTCTACATTCCGTTTACAGGTTAGGAAACTGAAGCTCAGAGTGGTTAAGTAATTGTGTTCAAAGTCACCCAGCAAGTGAGGCTAGAAAATCAATCCTAACTCCACCTGTCCGACTCCAGGCCCAGCAGTCCCTCCGTGCTGAACTCCTACAGCAACCCCGGCCCGAAGTACTCACAAGGCAGTAAAGCTTGCAACGTCCTGATGTCCCACTTCATTGTCACCCAGAGCTTTTACTTTGAGCTTTTAAGTCTTTATTATCAAATTTCTATTCACATATCTTTTCTTCCTAACTATACTATCAGCACCTTGAGACAGGAACGAACTTTTCACTTAAACTGGTCCCTTCATAGCCACTGGCAGGGCTCCATGGAGATGGCTGTTGTTGCTGCACGACCAGCGTGGGAGTCATTCTCTGAAACCTAAAACACATACCCACTCCTCCAGGGAAATACACGCATTCCTCAGAGAGCTGGCTCCGGCCAGCTGGACAGATGAGGCTCTGCCTCCTCCAAACTCAGTGGCTTCATGAATCAATTGATTCCAGAGATGGATGCTCTTCCACCCCCTCTCAGCCTCAGGCCCGTTCCAGAGCTGGAAGCAGAACAGGCCTCATGCTTGAGTGGGGTACACCAGAGCCCAGCTTCTAGAAACAGGGCTGGATATCCGCACTGACGCATTTGCCTCTCTCTCTCCTTCTGCTTTCCCTACCTTTCCTGTCCTTAGTCTCTCCTCTCGCCTTGTTCCAGCACCTTTAGATTGCCTAAAGGTAACCTCTGCTACTTAGCAGCTACTGTAGGCCAGGCACTATGCTAAGCACTTTATAGCTGTAACCACTGCATTGAACAAGGGCTCAGGAAGTGATGTCACAAAGGTATTTTTTACTCTGAGTCTCACAATTTATTCATGCCTCCACAGTAAGGGTGGTCTTTCTTGGATAAAAACTTAGTCCATGTGGTTCTTTTGGTCCCTTAATGAAACTTCTGGAGTCACTTTAAAGCACAAACAGCCTTAAGTCAGCCATTACAATGGCTCAATTCCACGCAACAACCAAAACTAGAGACTTGACTAAAACGTGAAATATCCTCCCCATGTCCAGCTAAGCTCTGCAGCGTGGGGGCTTTTTGAAGCACGTATGACTGTGGGGAACAAACAAAGCAGCATAGGGGTGGGGCCCATGGTGGCCATGGGGGCAGCCACTAAAACCTCTTTCAGGAGAACCCATCAAGAGGAGCAGAGTTGACTGACAGCCCAGAGGCCACACTTGGGATCCGCCCCACATTTGCACCAAGGCCATCATTTCCAGGGACGCCCCCATCTAAAAGCTGAGCGCAGCAAGGGTGCTAGAACCAGACGATTCCTGCCTGCCAGGAACTCTTCTGATGGGCAGCCTTGGCCAGGGCCAGCGAGGGGACTAGCCAGCCCCGCCCAGACCCGCTCTGCCCTTCCCTGCATCTGGACTCTTCCTACCCCGCCCTCCTTTCTTTCCCGTCCTGATCCATGGTCCAAAGCCTCTCTGCCTAATCTTGCTTTCTTTACCTTTATTCTTCATAGGTATTTCCCCTAATAAATCTCTGCCTCTCAGGAGCCTGAATTGATATGTGACCTTTTTTTCCTGCCTGGCCGTTTCTACTCCCCACCAGCCAAAGGGGCCAGTGGCCGTGAAGGAAGCAGGTGTCGTCAGCTTCTCCTTTTTCCCCCTGTTCCTCCCATCTCACTGCTGCTCCTTCACCTCTCCTGTGACAACCGGACTGGCCCTGACTTAAGATGCCTCTCACTCCCAGGACATGGCAGTGCTTTAACACCAACTGTGTTTCTTATGTGACACTTTCATGGGTTCCTCAATAAGGGCAGGGCCTTTTCTGCTAGCATTTCCTATCCTCCCCCTCAGCTTCAGGGTATCAGTCAGGATTCTCTAGAGCAACAGAACCAGTAGGATGTGGATGGATGAATGGATGGATGGAGAGATGACAGAGAGAGGAGGGAGAGAGAGAGAGAGAGAGAGAGAGAGAGAGAGAGAGAGAGAGAAGACAGATAGATAATAAGGAATTGGTTTACACAAATATGGAGGCCAAGAAGTCCCAAGATCCACAGTTGGCAAGCTGGAGACCTGGGAGAGCTGATGGTGTAGTTCCAACACAAAAGCCAGTGGGTTAAAGACCAAAGGGAGCTGATGCTTCAGTGCAGCTCCAAAGGCAGAAAATGACCAGTGTTCCAGCTCAAAGCAGTCAAGACAAAGGAATTCCCTCTTTCCTCAGCTTTTCTGTTCTATTTAGCTCTTCAATTGACTGGACAAGGCCACATTAGGGAGGACAACCTGCTTTACTCGGTCTACCAATTTAAATGTCCATCTCATCTAGAAGCACACTCACAGACATACCCAGAATGATGCTGAACCAACTGTCTGGGCACTCTGTGGCCCAGGCGGCTAGACACAAAATTAACCATCACACTCAGCTACTGCCCCCAACAGGACATCCCACAGTGCCTTAGTGCTAGTGTTGGGGAGCCCTCTTTTGGCAGGATCCCTTTTCAGGCCTCCTCTCACACAAGTCTCATACCTGGCCCAGGGTGCAGGTGCCTTTGACTGCTATGGGAGAGGAATGTGGCCGCTTCCAGACTCCACCCTCCACTCTGCTGCCTCAGTCATGACTCAGGCTCAGCCTCTTTGTTCCCAGTGGTAGAGGGGTATTGAGTCTCTCCACATGGTCCTCACCTCTCCACGATTCCCCCTGGGAATAGGGAAGGATGGGGGTGGACCCCCAGCTCACCCACAGCTCTCTCAGAAAAAGACTTCTCAATCTCTCTTAACCCTTTAGTATCCCCCTATAATGATGGGGTTCAAGAAGTAATGAACTCGTTGCTGTTTAGTCTGGGTATGATATAACTCCTCCTTTGCATTTCAGCCTCTATTGTATCTTGGTGCCATGGCAGAAACTTTTTATACATCCTGTTATATAGGTAT